CCCCAAAACCCCAAAACCCCAAAACCCCAGGTTTAGATAAAATAATTGAAATAATTATTACAAAAAACATGAACAAGAATCAAGGCACAAAAGAAGCCATGACTGCAACTGAGAGGCAAACCTCTAATGGATCTACTATGAAGTATCATAGAGGCAGAAGTTTTAATAATAATTAGCAATGTATCTGGTCAGGATAGAGAGAGTCGCATAAATATGGATGATATGGAGAACGAGAATAAAGGAAGAAATAATAACAAGCAATTTCTTGCAGTGTCTAAAGAAATGTAAGCCTATTAGTTGTTATTTTAGTCAAATATCCAACAAGCACTGAAAAGATTCAGCCATCTTCGCAAGACAAAGCCTAAATTATTCCCTAAACCAAGACTTGATGGGAGTCCAAAAAGACAGTAAGTAATACTAACGTCGACTAATATCCCTCTAAATATATTGTTCAAAGGCATAGTTTATCTTTATTTGATATAAATTATGAAATTTTGTGACTAAAATTATAATCTCCCTTAAAATTCTAAGAACTAATTCCTAGATAACAAATTTTTATTAATCCCTTTCTAAACCTAATTCCAGAAATTATTCCCGATTTACACATGTTTTCTCGAAATACTCTCCTCTAAGGGAGCCTGCGCCACAAATGATTATTGCGCTCTCTCAGTAACCTACAATCCCAACGGAATACCCCATCTCTTACAACCTAGTGTCTATTTTTCATTGCCCATACACCGTTTTGGCTAACTTTATTCAGACTTTTCTGTAAATTTTACATTGATCTTAAAACTTCGAATTTTTGTGTGTACTGAAACCGATCGTTCTTTGTTGGAGTTGGAAGTTCTTTGGCTTGGCTAGGGATTTGGCTGGGTTAAGTGGGGAGACCTGGGTTCTTGGTTTTGAGGTGAGAGTGAATTTATAGCTGGGAATAGTCTGAAATAAGAGTGATAGAGATGGGTCCTCTTTGAAGTGAAAGTTTAATAATGAACGGTTGAGGCAAACTACGAAGAGAGTTAAGAATTTGTCAAAAGTTAAGAAGTCTGTTGCCGTTGGGTCTTCGAAGCCTAAATCTAAAGAAAGAAAAGTAGATTATTTTCAGTAATTTATGTAGAAATATGAGATTCCTAACGTAAATCTTATCTTTGGAAGGACTCAGAGACCCAAAGAATACAAAACCATTGAGTCAAAGATCATCCCAATCCCTCAACCAATAGAGGAAGGTAAGCATCATCCCTAAATAATAGATGCTCTCGATTCAGGACTTGAGTTTTCAACCCCAGTTATGGAGTACAACGAAGGTAGCCCTATATCGACAACTATAGAGCCTAAAAGAGTGAAGAAATCATGACTGAAGAAGACCTCACTGGGGAGTACGAAGAAAAGTATATACATAAATGACAAAGTCAACTACGACAAAATTCTGAAAAGCTATTTTAGTAGGAAGGGACAAGACCAGAACACCATCTTTGTGTATAATAAAGACAAGCTTCCGCAGAAATACTTTACAAGGAAAGATTCGAAGGATGGCAAGCTCCTTGGAGCCAAACTATTGAACCAGCTAGAGACTCAGATGGATCAGAGTTACGAGCAGTCTTATGATGATGGGGAGATATCTAAGAGCATGTTAAGCAATTTCAGATTCGTTCCCCCTTCAAAGGAGGAAGTTAAGGTAGACTGTTTGGAATAACATTTAGATCCCTGAACAAGTAAAACCGTATAAGATCTTGCATGATAAAGAGATGAAGATGGTCTCTAAATTAAAAAGAGAGTTAGGGCCGAAAAGTCTTGGGGCAACTAATGTCCAAACTTTTAGTCTACCATCTTTAAACTCACAGGATTTAATGCGACTGAAAACCCTTGAAAACAGCATTGATGAGCCTGAGGATAGTTACAGAAAAGGCCAGCTTAATAGAAAATTAAGTAAGGTTATCCCTAAAGAAGATGAAGGATATTCAATTGCTCAATGTAGTGCAAAATTTCTAACAAAGCACGTGAAATCATTAAACAGAATTTCTAACGATTACTCCTACGAGAGTGGTAAAAACTCGCCATTTAATAGCAGGAATCCTTCAATGGTCTCTCATTCCAAAACAAACCATCGCTCTCAGATGAAGAAGACCCCTGTGTCAACATCTGTGACTATTTTTGAGAATTCAATTTCAAAGCACAAAAATAAGTTAATGAAAGTCTTAGAGTACAATCCAATGGTTAGCATCCAAGAGTTTATCAAGCGTGTCGAAAAATCAGAAACTCTCAAAGAAGAAGGAAATAAAGACCAAAATCTGAGCAAAAAGGTTGAAAATTGCAGATATAAACGTACATTTTTCTTGTCAGTTTTAGGAAAATATAAGGCTAAGCTAAAACATCCGGTCTCATTCCCCAAAATCTCATCCAAGTTGAACCAAGATTTACAGCAACAGATTGATGACGTATTGTCTCAGAATCGAGACGAAATCGCTTTTCTCAAAAAGAAGCTGTTAATAGGTATCTTCCAGGGTCACCTTTATAGATGATGAGTTTGCTCATCCGAGATCGTTAAGAGCAAGGAAGAAAATATTCTCCAAATTACTGCTCAAATATCACCCTGATAAAGTTCCTACTGGGGCAAATGAAACCCAGAAGAAAGTTCATCAGAGGTTGTACCAGTACCTTGACAACTGTAAGGATGAGTTCTTAAAAGATGAAAGGAAATCTAGACCTGCAGAGAAGAAAAATCTGAAGAATAAACTGGAGATTGATGAATCTCAAGGAACGATTTTTGCATAAATTGTATAATTTCAATTATTTCACCTTTTTTGGGGTTTTGGGGTTTTGGGGTTTTGGGGTTTTGGGG